TGTGCACGATTTAGCTAACCGAGAGTTTTCCCGACGCTGCGAGGTCATGCCGGTAGTGGGGGAAAGGACTCGACCAATCCGGAACCCTTACGTTTCACCCTTTCTTCCTCTATCAGCTGCGCCACCCTGTTGCCTCTACGGCGCCTGAGCATCCCGCACTTCTCCCACAGGCGTACACTGGAACCTGAGGACCCTTGGGTACGCCACCCCACCCACCTGCGTGTTGGCAGGCTTAACTTTTGAAAATTAAATTTGTAACACAGAGCAACAGAGGCGACTGCCCCGCAACCACAAGCGAGTACCGTCAAAACATTTGCTGGAACTAAATTTAATAGACACACACCACACCTGCCAGTTTCAACTGCGTTACATGTTACAGTTACAGTAAAGGAATGTTTCAGGAAACGTTACGTTACGTTGCCAGTAACGTAACGGCAGATACTACGATAGTGTTACTCGTTACGTAACTAACTGCCTTGCGTTACGGACCTCTGGTTTTATGATGGGGACCGCTGGAGCTGGGCGAAAATCACGCAAACACTCGCTGCGCCCCCTGCCGACACAGGGTAGAGCCCAAAGTACTACCTTTTGTGGCAATGCCAAGCCAATCAATAAGACAAAAGTAATACCTTTCCAGCGGCAATGAGTCGGTCATTGCCATTCCAAAGGCAATATTCATCGCCATTGCGCCGTTCATTGCCAAAAACGCGCGTCAATATGCCACAAAAGGTAGTACTCATCGCCAATAAAAGGCAATGATCAATACACCATTAAAACAACAGTGCCCAGCAGGGATGCGTTACATTGGGATTGCCCAAGGACTGACTCACTACCAGGGTATCTGGAATGCTGCTAAATCACGTAGAAATCTTGCCCCCGCCCGTTCCTATAAGCGTCGGGCCCATGATGGCCGAATATGCTGCGCCCCCGGCCCCCGGCCGCCCGGCCGCCCGAGGCCGCAGGGCTGGCTGCCCCGGCTGAGCCCTGATCTGTGAGCGAAGCGCGGCTGCCAATGGATGGCCAGGTGCCATTCAACCTATTTCTTTACCAACCCCCGCCTAGCTATACACGGCGGCCCGGCCTGCCGATCCCTATACCGTCTGCGGACCTGCCAGCGGAGGAACCTGCTCCCCCATCCCATGCTTCACGAGCATGCACACTAACTGGATTTGTATCTTTTATTTGTACAAACTTAAACAATCAAATTTTTTGCACACATTTCTGCGTATATTTGAAAACTTTTGTGCTTTATTCCTTTGTAGAAAATCATGCACTTTGGCGTAAAAATTTGTGCAAAACGAAACGCAGGTTTAACTTAGTGCGAACGTTTGCACAAAAACATACAAATACATTTAGTGTGTGGGATGCTATTCCAACGACATGTATCAGTGGCACAACCACCGGCTGTCATCTGTCATAGGGTTAGCAACATCGTGTCTTTGGACCAACAACCCGGCCACAAGAACACGACGGTCGTTGGAACAATGATTCTTTTTTCTCAGTGTGGCGCCGCTCAGTTGTATGTACTGTACTCACCAGTTTCTCCAGCCGACAGCACCGCGAACTCGACCTTGGCGACCTCTAGCAGCAACGGGGCGGACAGGTGCGGCCCGGCCTCGATCAGGTGGTCGAGGGTCAAGGACGAGGACCGCGCCAACGGTAAGGGCGAGCGTGCGACTGGCGCGACCGCTCCGCATGCCTCGTCGTCAGGGACTAAGCCAAGCAGCGACAAGTTGCTCGAAGGGCTCGTCGAAGGGATTTTCCCACTCCCACCCCCCTCTCTCGCTCTCTCTCTCGCCCACGCAAATCATTGTAGCCGTTACCTAAGGTAGGGTGAGCCGCAAGCGCCGACAATACAGGATCACGTATACCTG